CCTGTTGGAACAAGTAGCCTCTGAGGGTGACAGCTCTTTGTTAGAACACTTTCCCCTCACAACGAGGGTGACCATATGTCCTGTTTTGGCCGGGACAGTCCCTTCTTTAAGCCCTGTCCTGACTTTTTCCCCCCAAAAGAGGCATTTGTCCCATTTTCTGACTTGATCAGTTGACAGGACAAATGCCCACTCTTGTCAAAAAATTGGGGTGCGGTGTGGAGGGGGTGAGCAGAGATGCCAGACCCCCACAGCGGGGAGCCAGGGCTGTGGGGGCAGCGGTGTTCCAGCATGCATAGGGGACCCCGCATTGCGCAGGGGAGCGAGCTGGTTCCAGCAACTGGGCAACAGCCTGGCGCGCGGCAGGTGGCGACAGGATTACAGCGACAGGCAACAGCATGGAGGTGCCCTCGGGCAAGCAGCTGGTGGTGTCCCATTTTCTCTTTGGGAAATATGGTCACCCTACCCACAACCAAAGTAAACAAAATATATTTTTTGGACCTGGAATAGCTGCTCACTGATACACTTCGATATTGTCGCTTAAATCAGCTAAACAGAGACAAAATAAATACGGGATTCAGCTGCTCAGTGTTTATAAAATAATCTGGTATGTGCTTATAAATAAGTTGTTAATGATAGTCCACCAGCTGTGAAAAGGACACAGAAAATTATATTAAAGTGGAGGCTTGGACTCAAACAACACATACAGCCATGTTAGGTTATTTCGATTTATAAAATGGCTGCTCAGCTCAATCAAATAACCCCTGCTCACTAAGAACCTGATCCAAAGCCCATTGAAATCAGGGGAAAATCTTTTTATTGACTTGCGATCAGGTCTTTAGATTAGACATCTTCATAGTCTTCTAGGGCCAACACCACAGCCTCTTCTCCTGCCCTCAAAATTCAGCTCCATACAGCTCCTTCTTGCAGATAGAGAGCTACCTCTGAGCAGCACACTGGGCCTTCTCCTCTCTTCTGTGACATACTGGAAGGGAATGAGCACGTTTACCTGCCAGATGTGGTCGGGAAGCATGGGTGGAAGAGACTGGCAACTAGATGACTTCCTCCAGCCCTGAGCCAGTGCCAGCCTCTTGGAAGGAGCTATGCTTGTCTGGGGGTATGCATGATTTCAGGGGTATGGCCAACTAGTTAGGGCAGAGCAAGGGAGCAGCTGCGATAGGCAGCATGATCTCCTCAGAAATCCATATAGTTGCTGGCAGAAAACACTATGGAAATTAATGCTTCCCAGAGCAGCATTGATGGTACGTACTCCATTCAGGGACGGTCCGCAATTTAGACTTTCCCCTAGAGCTCACCTTGACTAGCTAACGTGTCCACACTATAACTTGTCCTGTCTACACTAGGGTTTTTAAACGTGTTAGCTGTCACATGTTAGCTATCATGTTTTAAATACACACCTTTTTGCTAGTGTAGATGGTGCTTTGAGTGGCATGATGCCAGTGATCAGGGTTCAATTGTAGTAGGACTACAGAGCGGGCTGTGTTTTAGGGAGAAATAGTCTTCATCCCATAGGATCTCAGAGTGTGTTACTTATTTAAACAGACATGCTAACATATCACTTCAGCTCTCATTGAAAGGTAGCTGGCTCCCTTCAACCTGAAACACATCAGCTGTTTAAGAGGGCACAGAAACACCACCAAGAAGATGATGAGGACAGAAGTGACAAATCTCTTTTCCAGCTTAACGGCTGTGAGGACCTCCAGATAGTGGAATGGGAATGATCTGACACCGGGACACATAGTTACAGCCTTAGTTCTTGTGAAAAATGCCATAGTCTCTTTAATGCCCAAAAGGGGTGAAGCGCTCAGCTTCATTTATGGCTTCTTTTCGGCAATTTAAAACATCTGAATGGGTTAATAAGGGTATGATACTGATGTGGGAAAAAGCGTTTATGTACAGGAGAACTGCCTGCTATTAACACTGCCTTCCAACTCTTGCATTACTGAGGCAGCATGGAACACCCTTCCTTCAAACCCTATTATTGCTGCTTGGATTACCTGGAGGGATCACCACAGAGCATTGTATGGCATTTGCTCAACAGGGACTAGGCCTACTTTCACCACCACCCTCCCCAACCATGGGAATTGGGCTCAAGTTTCTTATGGCACGAGAGGGCACAAGTCACAGGGTGGGCCTGGAGATGACCTTTTTGTTTCTTTGTCAATAAGATGTGAAATGCTTTCAAGTGAATGCATTGGTTGGGAGCCTGGTATCTTACATGACTGATGCAAGCTGTCTAACTGTGGCTGTTTGAAAGAGGGAGATATGGAAAAAATGGAGAGTGAGATAGTTGAGTCTTTTTGGTCCGTTCAGATCTTGGATTTTCTGCTGGGACTGCCACTCAAAGCCGCAATTAATGCTAGCGGTAGTGGTAATTTTGTCAAACAGGCACTTGTCCACTGTGACTGGGCTGAGACCAACAACTCATTTTATGCAGGTCCCCAAACAAGGATGGGACAATAACTTTTAGTCAGATGCTCAGCTGAAGTATATCATCACGTCAATGACTTCAGTGAAGTGATGTTGATGTACACTAGCTGAAGATCTGACTAAGAGTTCATAGCTTCGGAAAATTTGCTCATTTGAACCTACTGAGGTATTTTCCCTTCCCATCCTTTTCCTTCTCCCCTGGACCCAATCTATGATCCTATTCTCCTCTCTCCATCTTTCACAGAACTAAAACTCTCTGGACAATTCCTGTTTTCTCTTTTTACTCCTTCTCTGGTGTTTCTTTCTTCAAGCCTCTTATGTAGCATGCTGGTACTTTAAAATCTTGGAGGCTCTTGATATTTCCAGGGTCAGATTATCCTCAGAATTTATTGCATCCAGCTTTGTTATTTTGCACATCAAGAATCCAATGAGTGCCTTAGAAGAGAGAATATTGCCTTTGCTATTTCCCAATTAACCAAAGTAATTACAATATTAATTGCTGGGTAATCTGCAGCATTCAGATCTCATGATAATACTTTAGATTTTTGAAAGGGAAAAAAATCCATCATGGGCCAGAACCTCAGATAATGTAAGTCAATTGCAGTTCTATTTAAATCAGTAAAGTTACACCAACTTACAATCAGCTGAGGATCAGGCCTCACGGGATTACAACGGCCAAGGCTGTACAAAGTTGTAATAATAGGACTGATTGTCCTGTCAAAGAGAGGGAAAAAATCTCTAGTTTCCTGCATTTTTCATTCCAATAGAGGTTTTGTAACACTTCAGCTTCTGGGGCATTGTTTAATTAAATCAGCCCTCAAGTTGTATATTGGCATCAAAGGCAAGGTTTTCAATCCTAGAAGCAAAACAACTCTGGTTCAGCAATGTGAAATAACCATATATTCCTTTTTAACCTTGCAGTGTTAAAAATTTAAGCAAGAAGTCTCTGTGAATCAATACAAGCAAATGGCAGTAAGTAGAATCTATTAATGTCCAGTTTTCTTTTGTTGTTTTGTACGGAGACTAACCCCAGGGAGATACTCCTAACATGAGCAAGTATTAGTTTTAATATCACCACTTGGCAGCTTTCAAGGGCAAGGTTACTGGAATTCATTTTCACTTTCGTAAACTGGTGTGCAATAATGATAAAATAAATAAATAAACAAACATATATTTATGTATCATTTATATTCTTTTTGGCAGAGCTTCATTTGTGAGTCTGAAACTACAGATCAAGTAACCAAAGTGAGAATTTGTGGTTTTGCCCTGCTCTTTCTACTCAAGGTCTTTCATTTTGTAAAGCAAATAAAAGTGTTTGCAAAAGATACCAGACTGAAAGCCCTAGAGAGAGTCGTGTTCTCCACATGAATCCTGGCAGAGTCAAGGCCTTGAACTAAAGTTCTTTTTCTCCCCTAGCCTGGCCAACAAAAGCCACGCAATCAATCTCTCCCTTCACATTGTTGAGTAATGTGCCCCACTTCTGACAAAGATGATACGTCAATCTTCGTGCCCGATCAGGACTTTGCTTCCCAGTTTGAGACTCCCTGCAAAGGTGGCAATTGTGATATGTCATTTTGATGACACTCTGAAGCCCACTCCCCCCCAACCCCAGTCTTCAAACCCCAAGCTCCAGCCCAAGCCACAACATCAAAGCACTGTTTACAAAGCTGTTTTGAGAGTGCTAGTGCAAGCCCTGCAACCCCGAGTCGGTTGACCCGGGCTGGGAGGCTCACTGCCGTGGGCTGTGCAGACAAACCCCAAGAACTGGAGAGAGAGCAGCAATTCCTTTTGGACAGGCCGCATAACAGCTATCAGGTCATAAAGAGCCAGATCCTCAGCTCGTGTAACTGTTGTAGTTTACAATTGACACCAGTGAGGAGCTGGCCCAGTAAGTTTAGTTCACTACCAACCTTGGCCACAGATGCAAAAAGGTGCAAAGTTCCATTGCCGATGCAGAGCCATACCAAGACGTTTTCTATTTCATGCGTTCTGAGTTTGTGGTGCAGTGAGAAACTCTTGTCATATTGGAAGTCCAATTAAAAATCCAGTTCATTAACACTTTTTAAATAAGTGATTATGATTCTATTAGTTATGCCAATCAATTGTGCGATTGCACTAATCACTACAGTATCTGAAGAGGTTCCTGTTAGTGCCTTTGAAAAAATCAAACACCTTAACAGCAGGGGCATCATTTGCTACAGGGTAAAAGGGGCAGTTGCCCCCCCCCCAACCTTGGTTTGCCCCGTTTCAAAATCTATAAAAGACATAATGGAGCATACTTTTGCCTCCCACCCAGTCTTTGCAAGATATCATATAATAAGCACCCTGTGTTCCATATGCTAACACAACTTTGCCACCCCTAGAACTTTTCTGAAATGGCTCCCATGCTGAACGATACCATTGTCTTTATCTAAACAGTTCTTCTGCTTGAGGACTTGATCCAGCTTCCATTGAAACTGACAGAAATCTTTCCTTTGATTTCAATGGAAGTTGGATGGAGCCTTTCAAATGGAAAGTTTCACAGGAGAAATGCAGAGTGCAAGCCATCTTACCTCTATGTTCAGCATGACCCAGCGATACCGCAGCAAGCAGCAAGACTATTACTACCTTCATTTTGTAATTACACTGGGTTTAAAGGGATGGTTTAATCACTTTGTCTTCTGCAGATTGTTTCCCCAAAGGTAGCACTCTAGAGGTCGTTCTGCCATTTATATCAATCACATGACTGCAAATTACCTGATAAATGATTAATCTAGGTCGAGGAGCAGAGGGCATGCATCCTTGGTCTAGTGGAGATAAAATGGAATGACTAGTAAAGACAAATAGACATTTACCGATGCCAGTGTATCCAAAAATCACTGTGGTTTTATTATTAACTCTGCAAAACTGGGATTCTAGCTATACAATTCCAATCAAACTTTATCCTACCAATGTTTTAATGCAAAAACAATGTAATAGGAATTTTAAAAGTGTGTGTGTGTGTGAGAGAGAGAGAGAGAGAGGTGGAAAACCTACATTCTACGTGTCATCTTATTGCACAGCAGTTTTAATCTTCAAAGTGCTTTATGGACATTAACTGATCCTGACAGCACCTTGTGAGGAAGAAAATAAGATAGTTGCCCATTGCCCTCGAAACTGGGATTTGGTCAGCACTTCCTGATATCTAACAGTCCTGCGCAGACCATTACACAACAATGTCTTTATTCACCATTTTTATCAGCTGGAGAATTAAAGGTGACTTGCAAATATAGTAAATAAGGAATAATACATCAATTTTACCAAAATAGCAAGCAATGGGAGTCAAATTAAGTGGTTTTGCCAAATTCCCTGAAGATCAGCAATATTTGGGTTTACATGCACATCCTGGCTATTGCTGTGATAACTGGAGTATTTTTGGAGTGTGCTACAAGAAGCAGAGCCCCTGTTGAGGTTGCTGATTTGTGCTCAGCTAATGGAGAACTAGGGATGTGTTCATCGGTACATTCCTCAATCCGCCCATGAAGACCCAACAGTGTTCAACCTGTTGAGCTGAAGATCCTAGTCACCATCTCTTTCAAGAAGAGAAGAAAGAATGCCAGGAGGGCTGGCGCTCTCTCTCTCTGGTTTCCGTGGGGAGGAGAGTAAAAGAACATGGCTGCTGTCATTTCCATGGCCTATGGGATAGGGAAGGGGAAAGATACAAGGCTGCTCCCTTGGCCTCCAGGATGGGGAAAATGAAAGTGCCCCTCCCTCTCAATGTTGTCCATGGGGAAAGAAGGCAGACTTCTGTAGGCTCCTCCTCTCACCCCTGGGGAGTAGTGTGAGAGAAGTGAAGGGGGGCGGGGAGGTGCAATGGCATCCAGCGCTGGATAGCAGCTGCTGCAGGTAACAGAAGTATGGCTGCCCAATGCCCAAGGTTGCATTCATCCCTCCTGTAACCCCATTCATCCCTCCAGTAACCCCATTCCAGCTGAATTGCTCCCAGGATAAGTTAGGTCCCCACTGTGGTTGCGTCTCATATGTCGAATGTGGCTAAATGCCAAACCTTGAGCCCCCTTGCACATTCCTAATAAGAGGTGCACATTTAGCATATCATTTTCTTAACATTTGTTCTTTAAGGGCCTTCCAGGCTATGGGTCACTGGCTCCTGCTTGATGCCTCACCCAGGGCTTGAACTGAATTAAAAAAAGCCTATATTTTTTTTCTCAGCCTTTCCCTGTTCATATAATCCCCCCCCCCCCCCATAACAACACAAGACTAACTGCCTAAATTACTAGTGACTGTTTCAGATGTGGTGGCCTTCACCACATAAATGGGACGCAACAGAGACAATGCCACCTATACCTCATAGCTACCGAGATTTTATTAAACTATCCCTGCCACAGGAGATTTTAAAATTGCTCCTCATGTTAGTTTCAATTTCTCGAACAGAAGTTTATTTTGCAGGATTAGCAGGTACAAAACCATGACCGTCAATGACACTTGCACAATGCCTTTCACTCAAGTGCTTTACAAAGCCATTTAAGCGCACAAAGCAACAATACATACAGCTTAGGACTGGACGTCAGGAGCATATTCAGTTTAAGTTATAGGAGGAATTTAAGCCCTCAACCAAAACTCTTTAGAGTCTATGGAACAACTTCCATCCATCCGTACATGTCTGGTATTTATATGGTCCTCCTTAACATAGAATCTCATAATCTTCAGTATATTGATCCCCATGAGGTAAGGGAGTCCTATTATCCCTATTTTACCGATGCAGCACTGTGGCACAGAGAGATTAACTGATTTGCCCAAAGTCACACAAGGAAGGAACTGAACTCAGGTTTCACAAGTCCTAGGCCAGCACCCTAACCATACATTTCTTCCCCTAAATCATCTGGGATTTGAACCTGACACTTCTTAGGCTACAAGAGCAGCCACCTTTCCACTAGACCATCACAAATGGGTTCAGAGTGGGCCCTTAAACTATACGTTTTTCAAGAGCCAGATTGTACCTGGCGCTGGTGCATATGGAGGGCGCAAAGGCCTAGATTCTTAAAGGTATTTAGGCACCTAGCTCCCATTGACTTAATGGAAGACAGGGGCCTCAATACCTTTGAGGATCTGAGCCAAAAACCCCTTTTCCTTCTTGTCTCTAATGCAAAACTCAGTTGCTCTCTGTCTGTCCTTGTGCACAGGAATGGAATGGCATATGCAGCAGCACATATCTCCTTAACAACATATTGGGACACATGTTTAGTCCTAAAGCAGAGGAAACACTGCTACCTGCTGCACCATGAGCATTACTCACTGTAGCACCTGGATTTTTCCCTGGGGGAAAGAAGCCAGACTTCTGTAGGCTCCTCCTCTCCCTCAGGGGGAGTAGCGAGAGAAAAGTGAAGGTGGGGGTGGAGGGAGGTGCAATGGCATCCGGGGATGGATAGCAGCTGCCACAGGTTACAGAAGTTTGGCTGCTCAATGCCCAAGGTTGCATTCATCCCTCCTGTAACCCTAGCTTGGCTACTTAGAAGAGATCCGATAAGACTGGAGCCGCATGCCCTAGCAGCAAATCCTTACGCATTCATTTCCTTTGCACCGTGAACAGAGATTTTTAGAGCTCTTCAGGGAACGGCCATTACAGCACGTTATTTCTGGGCAGACCTCAGAAGGTCTTTGGTCTAGAAATTGGGTTGGAAACAGGGTCAGATTAAAAGGGTGGGTTCTAATTCCAATAATGATAAACAGAACGCCATACATGCAGATACACACGTGGCCAAATTCTGCCACTGAAGGGTACCGTATTCTGCAAGTAATCCCATTGAAATAAGTGAGATTGCTCACTACATTGCTCACAATGTAAAGTGCTACTCAATATGAGTAATCACGGCAGCCTCTGACCCTTCCAGAATAGTTGTATCACAAAATGTTAGACAAGCTCTGATGCTCATTGGAACCAGCAGTTGATATGTACTTGTTTACCATGCATTTCTGGTAGGTAATGGGTTATTATTTTGGTATAAAATATGGAAGTTATGTCTCCTTGCAGCAGATCCCTACCTATTTAACTGTAATTCAGCAGAGAAAAAAAGTTAGCACTGAAGGTGTGTTAAAGAAAATTAAAATTAAGGAGAGCCGAGGGGAATGCTTAGCAACGCATTAGGCTGTGAAATGGGACTTGAGTTATATTCAAGATTATGGCCCCAAACACTCTAGTATCCTATTCCATGTGCCACAGGCACTAATTCCTAAACTTTCGGGCTGCTGCAGGATATACAAGGAGCGCCATACTGAAGGTCCCTTTGAGTACGTCTGGTCTGGGTCAGCTGACTCGGCTCGCGGAGCTCGGGCTGCAGGGCTGTAAAATTGCTGTGTGGACATTTGGGTGCAGGCTGGCTCCAGCCCAAACTAGAACGTCTACACAGCAATTTTACAGCTCTGCAGCCCCATGAGGCTGAGACAGCTGAGCCGGGCCAGCCGCAGGTCTTTTATTCTAGTATAGACACACTCATTGTCTCCCAGCCAGCCCTGAACTGCCACTAGCTCAGCAGGGGAACTCCACAGCATAGGTGCAGAGAGAATCTGTCAGACCTTAAGGCGCACTCCCTCTCTGCCTCCTCCCCAGCCCTTCCCTAATTGCAGAGTTCTTCAGGGTTCGGGAAAAGAGGGAAGCATGCCAGGGAAAGGGCAGTTCCTTCAACACCCCCACAGCAGGGATCCAGACTTCTCCCTGTAAACATATGCAGAGGGGAGCAAGGAAGCCTCATTTTGACACGACCACTGTCGGAGCAGAGTTCGGCTTAGTGATGGATTCCATTTGCTGCATTCCCAGTGCTGACTGCTAAAGCATTACGGAAGACAATGCCAAGAAGATTTCATCTCTGTGCTCAGCCACGTGCAATCACATTGCTATTGCTAGCGAGGTAACACTGCATTACATTCACACCAGTTATCAGACATGGTTTACATGCTTTCCCCCTTCCCAGATAGGACTGTTGCAAATAATCAGTTTTTGAAGGACTAAAGAGGATCTGAGGAGTTTAACAATGGCAGCTAAGGGGAAAAAAATACATGTCCGCTGAGAGCCAACAGCAGCCAATTCTGTTTAGTTAAAAACACCCAGCCACCCACCAACAACCTCCCTCCCATTCCCAAAACACAAAAAGCTCTCCAAGGAAAAAAACAAAACAAACAAACAAACAGGTCACACACCAAACCAAACGAAACCCCACTTTTACATAGTGATGTAGAGATATCTCAGGAGGAAACCCTAATGAGTCTTTCTCACAGCTCTCCTTAACTTTAATATTATTATTATATGTATAAAAGGGCGAGGAGAATTGTAAGAGGGATATTAAAGGAAGATGATAGTTTTGATTTCAACCAGCATAAAAAGTAGACACACATCTAATATTTAACAGGAGCAAGAAGAGTGTGGTGCTTCCAATATCCAGCAATAAAGAGAGGCAGAAGCGGAACTATGGCTCCCACCCCCTTGATTTTAGGACAGTAAAAGCTGTAAAAGAGGTTCAGATTTGAATCATGTGCTTCAAACTCATAAAGGGCCTATTTTTCCTGAATGAAGCCTTGCCAGTTAGAAGCGAGATCCTCAGCTGGTGTTGACCTCAATGGAGCTATGTTGATGTACACCAGTGGAGGACCTTGCCCGCCAGATTCTTTCTTTCTGTGTGACAAGTATATTTGCCAGGTTTCTAACAGAACAAGTGACAACAAGACGCTGTTGGTTACT